ACTGGGGTGACTTTCTCGAGAGGGGCGGCTTGGCCCAGATTCAAGTGCCAAGTGGTGCTGATCAGCGCGCTCGTCATGTTGTCCTTCTCCAACACGGGCTCGACGGAGGGCAGCTGGGGATTCTCGAGCTCGTAACTCTTCTCGTAACCCTCCCTCAGATTCCTGCGATACGTGAGGTAAGAGTCTTCGTCGGGGGTGGTGTGGGCGCCGGGTATAGGTCCGACAGGATCGCTCGCTTTGCCCGGGGTGGTCCTCAGAGGCTCCATCAACACCTTCCTCTTCGGCTCCCGTTTCACCACATCGGCGAAGTCCTCCTGTTGGAACGTGAACAGGATGGGGGAGATGCGGAAGTCGAGCCTCTGGTTCGTGTTGAGCATCTTGATCACCGCGTACACCAACGAGTTCATGTTTCTGCAACGTAGAACGTACATGGCCCCGTGGTCTTTGGTGAAGAGGGGCGGGCCGACCCAGCACGGGTCGGCCACGTAGTATCCGTCTTTGGCGGCCAGCGCGGCCAACGTGATCTTGTTGCATTCGATCAGAACGTTGGGGGATTCTTCGAAGGATTTTTTGAGGGCGCAGGCGAGGGTCATCCTGTTACGGGCCCCGTACAAAATCCCGCATATGCTGTCCCTGAAGTCTATGATCCACACGTGGGGGAAGATCTTGAAAGTGGTCTGCAAGTTGAACCTGTTGAAATGCTTGGTGCATCGTATCATCGAGCTTCTCAGACTCTCCGTGTAGTACGAGTCTCCGCAAATCACCGCCGAGTCCAATATGGCGGGGCCCCATCTCGACGGATGGCTGAGATACTGCATGGCAAGGACGGCGATGCAGATAGCCGCTTGATTCCTACCGGCCCGATCCCCGAATCTGGAATCGTAGCAACCGATCGTGCCCCAAACCGAGTAAATAAGATTGATCACCTCGATAGCGTAATTGTTCCAGAATTGCTTCACGTTTTGCTCCGTCTCCTCCTTCTCCATCTCCTGCTTCTTCCTCTTGTTCCCCATCTTGACTATGTCAGGGGCGTGTCTGAAGTTCCAATGGTAGTCGAGGTACAACCACATGGGATCCTCCTTGAACGTTTTGAACGGGGGCATGTTGACCGATTCCACGTGAAGGCGGTGTATAAAGAAGCCCGTCGTCTCTTCGAATTGATTCAACGTCATCTGCTTCACCATTTGGCAAATGGTGGGAAATATGCAGAGGCACGCTTTGCCGCCTCGCTCCGCTTTCTTCCCCTTCTCGTTGCATTGATAAGGATCTAGATAATAATAGGCGTTCGTCGCCCTCGAGTACCAGAAACCGTAACAGCAATTGGTAAAGTGCAAAATCCCGCACGAGCTCGTTTTAAAGAATTTTCTCACGTGCTTCCTTACCTGTTGAGCGAAGGTAGAGAGAAAAAAAGTAAACATCTTTTCCTTTTTTTTTTTTTTTTTTTTTCTTTTTCATATAAGGATATAAAGCTGCCTAGCTAACCTGGACGTAAAAATCGTTTTTCATGGTTCGAGGGTTGAACGTGAGCCTGACCAAGGGATAAACGACGTCCCGTAAATCGAAGATCCTGTTCATGAGGGTAATGTTGCGCAGAATCTGTTCCGTGTGAAATTTCAATTCCCCGAATTCCCTGTACACCGATTCGGCGACCTCGATCACTTTGTCAATCATGCCTGGCATCGGGCTTTGAATGATGTCCCGCTGCACCATCACCGCCAGAACGGCGACGAAGTAACACCTCTTCACCTTGGGTTCGACCACCGTGTCCCTGTTGTTGAGAGCGACCGTCCCGTGGATGAATATCGGTTTATGGGATTCGGGCAAGGTCGGCCTGAAGATCGCCTCGAGGTCGTAAGGC